GAGTATTAAAAGTATGTTTAACAACAATTATTTCCTAAAAACCCACTGGGACGAAAGTGCTTGTAGGTAAAGAAACACCTAGTAAAGTCAGAGTCTCTCTCCTTCTCACATATGCACACACAAAAAGCAGCAGCTGTTACCTCCTTCTAAATTTAACAGAAGCAGGCTGACAGAGTAGGTGTGTTTACACAGGGCGTCCTGATATTGTGCACACCAATTTAACAAAGCCTCCATCCATCTCGCAGTATTCCTCAATTACTACCGCAAATAAAACTGCTCATCCACCAGGGAGCCATCAGTGCATTATGATCAACTATCTCTGACAAAAAGCGACACAAACAGCCAAAAACAGCCAAAACAGAAATAATGCAGGCCCTTAGTTATTATAGTGTCAGAGCTTAAAGTTACAGAGCTACCTGGAGTATTATTACTTCATTCTGCATTTGGCAACAAACGAAAATACAGACACACACTCAAACACACATGAACAATCCAATAATAACTGACCCCCTCGGCTGACAGCAGTCTATAAGCCACAAGCACCACACTAAGAAAACCGTTGGCCTTTAAATCAGTCAGAGAAACACCTGGGCCCCCACATTAATGAATTGCTACCTAAGAGGAAATTGCAAGCTGCCAATTGGGGGTCAAAGTCCTGTCCATTGTTCAAATGAAGAACAAGAACATTAAAGGGATAGTTCAAACATAAAATTTAAATTCTGTCATTATTTACGCAGCTTCATGTCATTCCAAACCTGTATGCATTATTTCTTATTTGGAGAGCAAAATATGATATTTATGAGAAAAAAAACGACCACAATATTCTTCAAAATGCTTCTTTTGCATGCAAGTAAATTAAAATGGATATGTTTACCATGTATACTATTTAAATTTTATTTGTAATAGTAATATTGTTTAGAGTGTCAACTATTCTATTGTATACTTTCGACATTGTTGGCACTGTGACAAACTGCTTATGTTCTTCTTAGTGGTTGCTCGATATAAATCGACTTTTAAGGTTATTAAGGGGTTTTTTTTGGGCCATTTTTAAATTATCCGCATTTATGTTGTTTATGCATAAGTAAACAGGTTAGAGATGTTATTTTCAGTCATTCTTCATGTAAGTGTCACTGATAACTGAACAGGGGTCAGTTTTAGTATGCGAAAGTGTCAGAAAGAGAAAACGGTAGACAATGGACTTTGGTTTACATCAGCTCATTAAAATGAATCTGCCTGAGGGACTTTGGGGTATGCAAATGTTTTCCTAATGCAGACCCCTGTCCGTTGCACAAAACTAACTCAGACACCAAAGGTAAAAGAAGGCAAATGAAAGGATGCAGAGAAAAGAGAATAAGCATGTTTTGCAATGACAAACCCTGTCTGAACCACCTGTGAAGAGCTCAGAGGGAAGTATAACGGCCCTAAGCGACGCTAGCGGAATGTGTGTGCAACTCAAACAAGTGTTGAGGACGAAGCAAACATTCCACTCTACTTTCTCTCAACGTATGGGAGATTTCAATTTGTCTTTTCTTGCCCCAAGTGCTTTACACAAATTGTGATGGGGTTTGAAATAATTGGAACAGGGAGATGCCAGAAAGAAAGCAGGCAAAATTTGATAAATGGTTCGTTTTATGATTCATATTATTTTTAGCTGAATGTTAGTTGCAGTCTGTAAATCAAGACTCAACCAAAAGTCCAATTTATGTACTTTTTCCTAAATATTTTGTTATTTTTCTTAATCTAAAATATCATACAGAATGAAAAGCACAAGCATTAAAACATTTTTAAAAAACTGCATTATTATCATCTTAATTAACCCATTTAATGCTACATACAAGCTAAGGAAAAACACTACAAGAAAAAAGCTCTTTAAGGGTTATATTCCGTTTTAAGATATCAACACAACAACATTTTTTTTGCTAGACATGAAGTTTCAAGGGAGAAGGAAAACCTCAGGCTGTCAGAATGTAGAGAAGCCAGTTGTTTTGTGTCTCTGGCTCTCAGTCATATCATTCTCACTGAACTGGCTTCAGGTGTAAGCAGTGATCAATACATTGACTTTAAGGCTGCAGCATATGTACTTTATAATGGGGTGCTCTTTATTCCAAGACTGCGTGTGCATGTTCACTGAAGCATTATCACCCATCACAAAGACCCCTGCCTGTTTCTGGATCAGTGCTGTGCTTCTTTAAAAGATGCTGTCTGGGAGTGTGTACAGCTGGGGGTTACAGTCAGACGGGTGCCCCAGACAGAGGGTCTGTCACTGCCCCACTTACTCACCAAGCGTAAGAGTGAGTACTCACCAAGATTTTTCTTCCTACAAAACCAAAATCACTAGTCTGTCCCAATCAATCATACAACTAAAGCAGCTTTGTTTTGTCAAAACCTGTCACTATGCACACTCCCAGCATGCTTCCTATCTTCATAGTTACCATGGTTATGGCTTAATATGTTGATAATAGAATGATGCCGATTACAACTAAAACAAGAAGATTATTTAACACTGATGCCACCTTTTTGCAAGTATGTAAGAGTTTCTTCAACAAAAGTCTCTCTAAATACAAGTGCACCCAAAGAGGCTACACACAAATTCATCAGCATGCTCAATCGCAGGGTGGAAGGAATGGGATTTGGAAAAGATTAAGGATAAAGGTATTGACAGAGGAAAGAACAAAGGTCATGTGATCATGTATTATACCGCCCTCAATTTGCAATGACCTCTGGTGCTGCTCCAGGATTTTTTCCCCTTGTAAACATTAATAAAATAAAATAAAATAATTATATTTATCATTTTTATACATTTATTTAAAATATAATATAACAATTTAGTGTATATTGTATTCTGTATGTATTAATATAATTAATTAAAAATAAAAACTAGTGTGCATATTTAATAATCATACACTGTGTACATATGTATTTATTACTTTATAAATTTAATAAATTATGTATGTATTACTAACTATATAACTAAAACTATATTTAAATATTAATTAAAAAACATTTTTAAACAATTAAAAAATATATATAGTGCGTATAATTAATATTTATACAGTTTTATGTGTAGATATATTATAGTATATATTATATATATATATATATATATATATATATATATAGTATGTGTGTGTGTGTGTGTATGCACTGTAAATTTAAACTTAAATTAGCTATTTATCATATGAATGTGAAAGTCTGACCATGCAGTGGCCACTGCAGCTCCTGTTCCTCCAGAGGTGTGGCAGCAGGCAGAAGTCTGTTGAGACGGTCC